TGTCCCGGTTCTTTCCTCTCTCAACCGAAGCCAAACAACAAGTATGTAATATTTTTTCGAACGAACAAGGCACAAAGAAGTAATGATGATGAGGACAAGGGCCAAGGATGGAGATTAAAAATTAAGAAATGGGAGACGAAAGTCTACTAAGCGAGGCTGGGAGAGAGAGAGAGAGAGAGAGAGAGAGAGAGCGAGAGAGAGAGAGAGAGAGAGAGAGAGAGAGAGAGAGAGAGAGAGAGAGAGAGAGGAGAGAGATGAGAGAGAGAGGAGGAACGATGAAGATGATAATAATAATGATGATGATGATGATGATCATCATCATCATCATCATCATCATCATAATCATAATGATAATGAGGAGGAGGAGGAGGGGGAGGAGAAAGAAGAAGAGCAGGAGGAGAATGAAAAGGAGGAAGAAGAGACGGAGGAGGAAGAGGAAAATAAGTTAAAGAGTAGTGGACGAACGATACGAAGCATAAAGCAAGGAGAAAGGCGCTGGGACGAGTGAGAAGAGAGAGGAGGCGAGAAGAGAAAGCGAAGAGAAGGGAAAGGGGAAAGGCGTGAGAGACCAGGACAAGCCAAGCCGTCCTGGAGCCATTAGCCGCGAAATCCGATGCTCACTTGTTTTTCCTTCCTCTTTTTCTTCTTCTTCTTCTTTGTCGTCTTTTTTTCTCCTTTTTTTTCTTTTTTCTTGCAAGGAGATGGGACAAGAGGGAGACGGGAAAGGGTAGAGGAGAAGTTGGGGAGGAAAGAAATAGGAGTTGGAAGGAGGAGGAGGAGGAGGAGAGGAGGAGGAGGAGGAGAAGAGAGGAAGAAGAAGAAGAGAAGAAGAAGAAGAAGAAGAAGAAGAAGAAGAAGAAGAAGAAGAAGAAGAAGAAGAAGGAAGGAAGGAGGAGGAGGGAGGAGGAGAAGGGAGGAGGAGGAGAAGAAGGAGGAGGAGGAGGAGAGGAGGAGGAAAGAAGAAGAAGAAGAAGAAGAAGAAGAAGAAGAAGAAGAAAAGTAGAAGAAGAAAAGAAGGAGAAGGAGGAGAGGGAGGGGGAGGAGGAGGAGGAGAAGAGGAGGAGGAGGAGGAGGAGGAGGAGAGGAGGGAGAAGAAGAAGGAGGAGAACATGGAGATGAAGAGGAGTAGGAGGAGTGGAGGAGGGAAAAGAGGTAAGAGTGGGAGGAGGAGTAAGAGGAAGTAATGAGGAGGAGGAAGAGAAGGAGGAGGATGGAGGAAGAGTAGAGAAGGAGAAGAAGGAGGGGGAGAGAACAGAAAGAGGAGGAGGAGGAGGAACAGGAAGCGGAGGGGGAGGAGGAGGAGAGAAGGCGGAGAAAGAGAAGGAGGAGGAAGAAGAAGAGGAGAGGAACATGAAGAGGAAGAGGAACAGGAGGAGGAGAAGGAAGAAGAATTAGGAGGAGGAACAGGAAACAGAGGAGGAGGAGGAGAAGGATAAGAAGAGAAGAAAAAGAAGGAGAGGAGGAAGAGTAGAAGGAGGAGAAGGAGGAGGAGTAAGACAGAAAGAGAGGAGGTAGAGGGAGGAGGAGGAGATGGAGAAGGGAGGAGGAGGAGGAACAGAAAGAGGTAAGAACAGGAAAGAGGAGGAGGATAAGAAGAGGAGGAGGAGGAGGAAGGAGAAGAGAGAAGGAGGAGTAGAACAGAAGAGAGAAGGAAGAAGAGGAGGAGGAGGAGGAGGATAAGGAAGAAGGAGGAGTAGGATAAGGTGGGAGAGAAGGAGGAGGAGGAGGAGGAGGAGGAGGAGAAGAAGAAGAAGAAGAAGAAGAAGAAGAGTAGAAGAAGAAGAAGGAAGAAGAAGAAGAAGAAGAAGAAGAGAAGAAAGAAAGAAGAAGAAGAAGAGGAAGAGGAAGGGAAGGGAAAAAAAAAAAAAAAAAAAAAAAAAAAAAAAAAAAAAAAAAAAAATATATATATATATATATATATATATATATATATATATAATATATATATATATATATATATATATATATATATAGAGAGAGGAGAGGGAGAGAGAGAGAGAGAGAGAGAGAGAGAGAGAGAGAGAGAGAGAAGGAAAAAGTTTGAAAAGTTTTGGAGAAAACAGAAGCATGAGTTACATCATCTCCACCTGCAAACTCAGAAATTCCCAAAGAAGAAGAAAAAAATAGATAAACAAATGAAAAATAGATCAACAAATATATAAGTAGATGAAAAATACAATCCGTAGAGAATGGGGGAAGCGAAGGAGGGAGGACATGAAACTTCTCGAAAAGTGTGAGAAAAGAGGAAGGGCTGAGAAGGTGAAGACGCCCCAGACATGCAAAGGAGTGGTAAGGGGCCGGGGGAGGGTGAGGGAGAAGGGGGCGTTGAGACCTCAGCCTCTCTCGTATGCAAAAAGGGGAACTCTTGAGTAATACCTGAAAGATATGTTCTCGGCAAGGCACCTGTCCACATGGGGTTCTGAACGCCTCCCCCTCCTAGGAAGAGGGAGAGGAGGAGGAAGAAGAAGAGTAAGAGGAGGAGGGGGAGGGGGAGAAGGAGGAAGAGGAGGAGGGGGGGAAGAAAAAGGAGGAGGAGTGGGAAGGGGAGAAGGAGGAGAGAATGAGAGGGAGAAGGAGGAAGAGGAGGAGAAGGATGTGAGGAAGAAGAAAAAGAAAAGGAGGAAGAGAAACACAACGTTAGGGAAGAGACTTGTGGTAATTACCACTAACAATAAAGGCAAGATTACGCTTACGGCAGCCGTATCCCATTCCTCGCGGGTAGGCATATGGCATTAATATGCGTACGTGCATTTAAACGTGATATCTGGGTAACAAGCACGAACCGAACTTAATCTAACTGAGAATG